GGCGGGACTCGGTACCACACAGATTCAGTTCAGCCACACCACCGGGACTCGGTACCACACGGGTTCCAGGTCACAGCCACACCACCGGGACTCGGTAGCACACGGGTTCCAGGTCACGGCCACATCACCGAGACTCGGTACCACACAGATTCAGTTCAGCCACACCACCGGGACTCGGTACCACACGGGTTCCAGGTCACAGCCACACCACCGGGACTCAGTAGCACACGGGTTCCAGCTCAGGTCCACACCGGCGGGACTCGGTACCACACGGGTTCCAGGTCACGGCCACACCACCGGGACTCGGTACCACACGGGTTCCAGCTCAGGTCCACACCACCGGGACTCGGTAGCACACGGCGGCCCGGCGGGCGGGCCGGGCCGTGCTGCGGCGGGCGGGCGGCTCCGGGGGCGGAAGGGGCGGGCGCGGCTCGGCGGCGGTTGGCGGGGGCCGGGGCCGCTTCCTGCGGCTGAGGACGCGCTCGGGCGGCGCTGCGGGACCGCGGCTCGGCGGTGGCGAGGAGCCCGCGCCCGGCGTGAGTGAGGCGGCTCCGCGGGCCGGGGGGCGCGGGGTGGGCCGGGGAGCGCTGCCCGGGCACCGCCGCGGCCTGGGCGGGCTGAGGCTCGGCTCGGCTCGGCTCGGGGCGGCCCTTGGGCCGGGCCCGGCGGAGGGGAGCGGTGCCGGTCCCGCAGGAGCTGCCGCCGGGAGAGCCGAGTTGTGCCACGGGCTCCAGGGCCACGCTTTGCTGGCAGAGCCATCCCTCAGCCTGTTGCTGCCCCGCGGACAGCGCGGTTTAAATGCCTTTATTTTGTCCGTGCGCCTGTGCCTGTGTGTGTTTTCCCCTCCTCGCCTGCTTTTAGCGTGGGTTTAAGGGGATTAAATCTGATGCAATCGGGGGGCTAAGAATAGCCTCGTCCACGTTCCCTTGGGTGTGCCAGGAGCTCCGGGGGGCCGCTGGCACACGGGACAGCCGGCGGTGCCCCGGCGGGATGCGGGGATGCGCGGTCGCAGCTCGCCTCGGAATTGGTATGCGGTGCCCTAACCGGGAGGAATTGCCTTGCTTTATTTGCAGGGAGCTGTGAACCCGAGTAATTTGCGACAGACAGCAAGTCTGAGCTTATTCTTCATTAGCTAGCTCCGCTTGTGTGTCTGGGATAATGCTCCTAGGGAGTGCTGCGTGTAAAATAAGGTTCTCCTTCACGTAGCCAAACACAGCTGTAACACTTCTGTAGTTTAATTTCAGTTGTGCCAAAAATATTTTGCTTATTGTTGGATGCAGGGCTCCGATATGACCGTCTCAGTCTTTCGAAAATGATCTTATTCTCCCTAAATTTAATTTTTTCCCCTCTTTTGAATGCTGCTTGTGTTTATTTTAAGGTTTAATTCATTCTCATTCTGTCATTGCTTTTCCCATAGTTCAGTGGTTTCCCGTTTCTCACCCCGTTTCTGGAGGGGTAGAAGCCTGTGACTATCAGTGTGGAAGCAGAACACCTCTCTGTTCTTTTAATAATTTTTTTTTTTCATAAAAAGTTAGGCTTACTGCTTTGAATAATAATTGAATTAAATGTATTCCTAAGTGAATAGCTATCGAAAATGAAATTGGGGCAAGCGATGCCTTTGTAAAAAGGGTTAATTTACATTAGAATTAGAAGTTAGTGGTTGAATATGAAAGGCCTGTGCAGTTTGCTACTGTTACTACTCTCAGAAAATGCCTATTTGGAGTGGAAGTGTAGTGAGCATCAGGCAGCATCGTTCATCTTTGCAGATATAGTAGCATTATTAGCATCCCTCTTACCTCTGGGGCACAGTTATCTTCAATTTCCAGACACAAGTTTTATCTTCTATCAAATTCTGGCTCTGCAGTGTAGCTGGTGAGCAGCACTGTGCTGTTTATTAGGTGCCAGCCTGCCTTAAATCTCTGCTAAATGTGTGAGGGAGAGATACCTCCTGGCTCTGAGCAGGGAGTGAGAGTGAGCACCCTGTTACTTCAGATATCTTTGCCTTTGGTAGAATAGTTTTAAGGATTCAGGGAGGCAGGCAGTTTGCTGACTTTATAATGTGTGTGTTCTGTTTGGTGAGGAATCTTTGTGCAGCCGTGGTGAAAATATTTTTAATGCTGGTGATGTTTCCTTCTGCTTTATTCTCTGCAGTCCAGGTGTTGTTGAGCTGGGCTCTGAATTTATAACTGATAAGAGCTTAAAGGCACCTTTGTACGTAGTTGTGGGCAGCTCTGTTCTTTTAGAGGGAGACTGAAGAGGGGAAAGAGGGTTCTTTTGATTCAGAAATCACCTTTCTTTCCTCTTATTTTTTTTTTTTTTTTGTTGGATCAGGTCTTGAAGTGTAGGGTGAAGGTTTCTCTTCACGGTGCATGGACGGAAAGCCAATGCGCAGGTAAGACACAAAAACTATTATTTTTCTCTTCCCCAAATAGGATAAATCATGTGAGTTGGTTTTGTACGTGCCTGGACTTTAAAATGTTGTGTGGTTTTGGATTTTTTTAAAAAAAGCCTGGCTATGGAGAGCTGGGAAATAAATCATTCCTCTTTAGTCCTTTCTTAAATGTATTTAGTTTTCAACATTTACAAGACCAGGTGTCTTTCAGGAAGAGTGTGGAAAACAAGCTACTGTAATTGTCCATCCCCTTTTCCACTTCCCCCATTTACTGTCATATTTAAAATTCAGTATTTAATTACTTAGGTATTCAAACTGTGGAAAATAAACTGCCTGGGAATAAATTTACACTTGATTTCCAAGGGGCATTATTTTTCCCTTAACGAAAGGGGTTTGGTGAGGTCTTGGGTGAAAAGGAGATTTCCTTTTCTAATTATGGATGCCAGCTGCCTCAGTTCTAATGAGCTGGAGATGCAGCTGAAGTTTAATTCAGGGGAGTTCTTGCTGTGGTTGTGTCAAAAACATTCTCTCTCATATAGATAAAAAGTTGTCACAGTAATTCAGCACGATGACAGGTTTGCAAACAGGGTTCTCTGCTAGTTCTTGTTGATTTTCCTTGCTTGATGGCAATCCCACAGCAAAATTTAACAGCAGATACATTTCTGTACATGATGCAGGCTACGTGGAAGTGAAGTTGCCTAAAGTTCTTCACCTCTAGATGAATTGGAGAGAGCTCATGCAGCTTGCTTGGTCTGTTTGTGCTCTTTGGGATGTTGAAAGAAGGAAAACTTTATTGTGGGTAAATCTGTATTCACTCATGTAAGGCAAGGCTTGTAACCATAGATGAATATATAGAACATTTTTAGCCACAGAAACCATTAGCCTGGGTTCTGTGTAAGGAGGCAAGAAGTAGTCACTTAAACCCTTGAAGAATGGCATGATGGTGTTTTAATTAAATGGATTTTCATTAATTTAATTTGTTGTGCCACTGCTGCAGCAGTGGGTAAACCTGGGACATAACAGGAGCATCACTGAGCCAGAGTATTGCCAGTTTTACCATGATAAGAAATGTGGTTTGGTCTATGAGGAGCTGTATGTGACTTTTACAGTGAATTCCTTTTCCTCCAAGATGGATTAAATAGCAGATGAGCTCTCTTTCATCGTAGCTTTCAGTGGAGATTGTTTAAATCTTAACCAACATAAACTCACAGCTTTTTAGGTTTTGATGTTGTGCTCCATTTATCAATATGTTTTGGCAGAATGACATAAAACTGGTGATTAGATTGGCTTGTGTTCTTGTTTTCTCCCTACTTTTTGTGTTCCTGATGGGGAAATTGATGTTCTAAACTCATTTCCATGGCTGCTGTTTTCTGCATGGAGGCAGAGAATTCACATGCTGGAGTTCCTGTGTCTATGTGGGTTTGTGGCCTTGGACTTGCTTTTGTGGAAGTTCTGTCTGCCACTCAGACAGTTTTAGTTTTTGTGGTGGGCAGCAGCACAGAGCTGAAGAAGTGGAGGTTTTTTATTACTGCTGCAGCCTGGCCTGACAAGCACATCTCTGCTGTGAGCTGTGGACTCCAGTTCTTGAATATACTTGCCTGTTTTAAGGGCCTCAGCGTGGGTTGTTAAAATTTCTGTTTGTTCTCCTCCTCTTGCCTGTCTTAGCAGAAAATGATAAAAGGTTCCTGATTGGATTTTGGGCACAGATCTTCCTATGAACTCCAGCTAAGCAGATGGCAGAGCACTTTCTTTTATCCTTTTACTCAGGGCTCTGAAGCCAATTTAACACCTCACAGGTGAGGGTTGTGGTAGGAAATGCACAGAGAGGAGTGGGGCTTGGCCAGTAGTGGGTTAATAAACACGGTGAGATGGTATCAAATGTGTATGGCATTCAGAGGGGAGGAGGAACAGCTTGAACAGACAAGGAATTCCAGCTATTCCTGTCAAGATTATAGTAGGGAACACGAATTGCTGCTGCAATCAGGATTTACCCTGCATTAGGAATGAAGGGGTGGTTGTGGCAGGCTGTTCTTGCTCACTCTCAGGGAGAAGCAAGAGAATGTGGCTTTGCTGAAGGGAAAAGCAAGGGATTTCTCAGTGAAGGACATGGTCCCAACAGCACCCAGACAAGGAGGGCAGAACAGATCTGATGGCCAGGGCCAGCCAGGAGTCCTGGGCTCCTCGGGCAAGTAGGGGTGAGGAAGGAAGCAGGGAAATCAGCTCAGCAGCTCAGAATGGGTAGGTGCAGTCGGGTGCAGACATATCTTTAACATAGCTCAGGCACGAGGGCTTGAGCAGCTCCCAAACCAACTGGGGAAGCTCTCCCAGCTCCTTCTCACCCAGCTTTTTCCTGGCAGCTTTTTCCCAGCTTACAGCAGTGCTGTATCAGAGCAGGCTTGAGCAGCCAGACCTGGCAGGAGGAAGGAGGTTTCAGATCCTGATGGTACACTCAGGAGCTTATCCAACTACCTGGACATAGCTCTTGCCCAAAACAAACTACAGGAGGCTCAGGAAGGTTTTGGAAGACTCCAGGAATGAGTCAGGGTGAAACTGAGTTTTCTGGGCTTGATCAGTAAAAATCAAACCGAGCAACGTGAATCAGGGCAAATACACCAGATCCTTGCTGTTTTCCTTTTGTGTAACGTAAAATAGTATTTCAGTCAGGTTTATCTGCTTGCTTGCATAACTTTGTTGAGATAGCTTACTGAAACCTTGCTAGCTAGACAAGAAAATGAATCAGTGGCATTTTTCCTGATAGTCAGACTTTTAGCTAACTTAATTCCTAGAGTACTGATGCCACAATAAAGCATTTCCATTTACTTGGTTGTTGTGTTGTGGTGGTGACTTGTGTTGCCAAAGGCTGGGCCAAATCAATGGCCCTTGTTCTTGCACCTCTGTAATGAGTATAGGAATTATTTCTTAATTTCAAATCAAGGTATTGACAGAAATCACTACCCATTTGGTTTGTTATTTTTATTTGCTACTAAAATCTCTTGCTACTGAAATCCACACCAGCAATGTATGATTTTTGGATTTCAGTTGGTGTTTTTAGCCTGAGATGTGTTTCATAAGCCTTAGGTCAGCCTGTTGTTTTCTGCTGAACTGTGTTAAAGGCCTGGTTGCAATCTTGTGCTAAAACACACAATGTCTTAAAAAAATGCAGATTTGAAAGTTAAGATGCCCTTGTGACAGCATGGGAAAGGATTTTCCGTAGGTGTGTGTTACCAGGTATTTTTTTTGAACCTTTGAGGAGCTGCTGTAAGGATGGATGTCTCATAGATGCCCCTAATAATGAATGAAGTTTTGGGCCCTGGCATAGCAGGATAAAATGGAGGCAGAGCAGCCTGTTTATTTAGCTGACTTAGTGTTGCAGACTGCCTGTGTTCCCATTTGTACTTCTCAGCAGTGTGCTACAAAAACTGATCCTTTGTCAGCCCTTTCTTAATCCTATTGTATTTGCTGATTTCCCCAGCCCTGCATTTTGATGGAAGCTAATCCCAGAATATCTGCATAGCTGGGTGTGAGTGTTTTATCCGAGCACACACACATTTTCTCTGGATCCTCATCCCTCCTTAATCACCTTGGCTATTCAGGAGCAGCTCTGAGTTCTGTGTGTGGGGAGGCAGCTCCCCTGCCATGTGAGAATCAAGTGCTGCCTTCTGTCTTTCACACCTCTAAGCTACTGACTCATCATTTCGTTCTCTGTGCATATTTATGCATAATGCACACATAATGCAGTGGAATTATGATCCTCGTGGAGACACCAGCCAGCAGATGTGTCCTTTAAATTCACACTTGTGTGCCTGTGTGTAGCAGCAACCCACCGAGCTTCACATCAAGCATCTGGGTTGATCCAGCTTGGAAATTCTTAAGCCAATTGATCACTGGCTTCTGCACCAGCTAAAGATAAGTTCTGGATGAATCGTGCGCTCTGGTTTGGTTGTTACTCTTTATTCCATCCATTCAGTCTTTTTTAATCATTAACCAGCACTTTCTCCCCAGGAGTAAGGAGGCTGGGAACAATGCGGGCTCTCAGATAAATGCTGGTGGGAACACTACAGGAGTGACTTCAGTTCTTGCTAACCAGACACCTTTTCAGTGAGTTAAAGATGTATTCAGCAGGACCTCATTTGGGCAGGAAAATCCTGTTCTGTCCTGGTTAGGGAAGGCAAGGGCTACTGCCTAAACCTGGCCAGGTAATCCTGTGGCACAAGATGGTACATCCCATTGTCCTGCGTTGGCAGGGAGTCTTGGGCTGTGGGATTGGCAGGAATATTGTGTATTTCTTCTGGCAGCATGGCCTTAATCCAATCTGTGTGTGCTTAGAACCTGTGCCACCCTGGGATCTGCTTTAGGGCTGTTTTTAGTGGGAGATGTCTTTGAGGAAAACCTACAGGTGTCACAGGTTGTGTGCTTTCCAAAAGGATGTCCTGTCCTGGATGTGCACCATCTCTTCTGAGCTCTAGTTACATGAAATGGGTTTTTATTTGAAGAATGCTTCTTCTGTGCTTTGACTGACAGCTTGGTCAAGACAAACTGCCCAGAACTGTAGTACCATGTGTCTTAAACGAGCTCTTATTGTGTTGTTTTTTTTTCTTTCCAAGGGTTGGTTTGACATAGTTCAAAACACTTAATGCACAATAAAATCTACTTAGCTTGCTTAGCAAGAGCCAAACTCTGCAGGGGAACGTTTGTCACCACCTTTCTCCATCTTTTAGTAGAGGGATTAAATTACTTACCTTCTGGCCTTGGCTGCTAAGGACTATGAAAATAAGCCAATTAGGTAAATTAATCTTCAGCCAAGGTTTCTTAGGGTTTTTGTAGGGGTACCATTAATTGTGGTTTGTGTGTATTGCTGCAAGGGGAGTTTAGTTTATGCAAGGAACTTGTCAGAGCTTTGAGAAGGATTGTCAAACCCCCCAAAGGTGAATTTGGGTTGTGAGGGACAGGAGTGGGTGGAGGGGAGTGAGAGGCAGTGCAACAGCAGAAGGATTTGTCAGAGGTGTCAGGAAAGGAGAACGGTGATGGATGTAAAAAAGATGGAACAGGGATAAAAACCCAAGGCATTTAAGGTGCAGAGGCTGAGCAGGAGCAAGCAGCAAAACCCAGAGGGGAGCCCCAGCTGGATCTGTGTAACTAAGATAGGAGAAAGAAGTAATGGTCTAAAACATCTGAATATGATGATCAAGGAGAGGGTGTGGAGGGAATGGGAAAACAGGCTAAGGTGCAAGTGAATAATTTGAATTGCTGCAAAGAGACTGGTTTCTCAGTGCTTAGAAAGTGCATTTGACATAATAATGAGGGGAAAAGATGTGAGGTTTTTTTTTTTTTTCCTTTCCTTCAAGCCTGCTGCAAATTGCATTGAGCCGTGGCAAAGCCAAGCTTGATTTCTTTTTAACTCTTAATAGGAACGGTGAGGTAGTGACAGCTCACAAATGCCAGTGCATTGGGGAAAAACTGATAGTGGCCAGCATGTTTTGGGTCTTTCAGTACCTTTCCAGTGGCCATAAACCATCAATATTCTGATATTTTGCTCAATGTTCTTTAGTTTTTCTAAGTGATAGTTTTCCTTTGATGTGGGAAGAGGCAGCAGTGTCCTGGTTTTTCTTTAATTACATGTGGAACTGGGAAGACACTGTGTTTCCTCTCTGTGCCAGTAATTTAGTTTATGTATTCTAAAGTTATTCTTCTCCTCTAAAGTTACCAGCTTGACTTTTCTGTTCTTCCTTTTTTTTTGGTAGGTTGATAGTGGTGAAGACTTGTTTTATCTTTTTCCTGTTTGGTTTGATGTGGTTTCGCCTGCCTTCCGCCATTCCTGGGGAAGATTAACCTTCTTTTGACACGTGCCAGGGAGGGTGGATTGAGTCAGGAGCCTCCATAACTCAAAAATAATTGAAGAGGTGATGATTAAAATGGGTGTTCTGTGAACCTGAAAGATGCTCATGGTAGTCTGCAGGCCATCTCGAGCTCCTGAAGTCTATGTGACACTTCAGTGTGTTCAGACACTACAGTGATGAGTGACCCCATTAAAAACTCAGGTAGAAGAGCGGGGAAGTTTGGTTAAATCACAGAGCTGGAGCTCTTTGCAATGGGAATCCATCTCCAGCTCTGTCAAAGAAAACTCCAGCGCTTGACAGTGGGTAAGTCAGCTAATCTGTGCTTTGAGTCACTCTGTGAAATGGGGATAATGTACCTTTGCCACACGAGGCTACGGCGAGGTTCAGCTCATAAATATGTATGTGTAGCTGGATATTACAGCCGTGTGTCATAGAAAGCGTATAAAAATAGCAATAAATAGAAGCCTGCTGCAAGTTGGCATTTGTTTACTTCTAAGCAAGCTTTGCTAGGAGATGGATTCCTCTTTCATGTGGTCACGTGCTTGTTTTCACGTCCTGGCGTGGACTTACGGGCACCGCTCGGCGCGAGCTGCGGAGCTTTGGAGCGCAGCTGGCTTTGGGATCCCCTGACCATGGTGGTGTATTTTTATCTCCTGCGCTGCAGGTGTGCCAGCACTCGCCCAGGAGAGACCGGAATGGACGTGACCAGCCGCTGCACCCTCGGAGACCCCAACAAGCTGCCCGAAGGGGTGCCGCAGCCCGCGCGCATGCCCTACATCTCCGACAAGCACCCCCGGCAGACCCTGGAGGTCATCAACCTGCTGCGGAAGCACCGGGAGCTCTGCGATGTGGTGCTCGTAGTGGGGGCCAAGAAGATCTACGCCCACAGGGTGATCCTGTCGGCCTGCAGCCCCTACTTCCGAGCCATGTTCACCGGGGAGCTGGCGGAGTCGCGGCAGACGGAGGTCGTGATCAGGGACATCGACGAGCGGGCCATGGAGCTGCTCATCGACTTCGCCTACACCTCGCAGATCACTGTGGAAGAGGGAAATGTCCAGACCTTGTTGCCAGCTGCTTGCCTTCTCCAGCTGGCCGAGATCCAGGAGGCCTGCTGTGAGTTCCTCAAGAGACAGTTGGACCCTTCCAATTGCCTGGGTATCCGGGCTTTTGCTGACACTCACTCGTGCCGTGAACTGCTGAGGATTGCCGACAAATTCACACAGCACAACTTCCAGGAGGTAAGGAGCTGTTGTGCTGGAATTGTGATGGAAAATGCATCAACGTGACCTGTGAGAGCTTTCAGCAGCTCTCCTTTTGGTCCTTTTTTCCAAATCCTGCCTTTACACACCTGCTCTGTGCCCTGATGGTGATGGGCACCAGATGTTAAGTGGGGAAGAAAGAGGTGGCAGGACTGTGTTGTACCGGTGGTTTGTATGTGATCCACAGCATTTCTTCCCTGAAAGATGTGTGGTGAGTGCTATGTGAGAGGCAAGGTCATGGGCACAGGTGGATTTGGCATTGCATCTGTCTTGCCTGCACAATGGTTTGACATTCCACTCCTCTTTCAGAAATATTCTGGATTCTACATGGTTGGAGGGGAGGCAGGTGTTAAAAAGTAAGGACAACACATCGATAGAACCCAAAATATTTGATGTTGAGCTCTGGGATTGGGTGTTTGGGGGAGCGTGAGCCTGCCTCAGGGGAGTCTTCAAATCCCTTGTTGTAGCAGAACTAGAGTTTTGCATCTATTATTCAGCAGAAGCTGTCTGAAAATAATTCAGATGTGTAATATTGTAGCTGACCTTTATAAAGTTTCTCTCCTTTGTTAATTCTGCCTAGATGATTTTTTGGCGGAAAAAAAAAAGCCAGCAGCTGGTTCTGAGAAGGATCAACATAATAATTAAGGATTGTGTGAGCAATAGTCAGAGAAGAGTGGGTCTTTACTGAACTGCTGCAGAAAAATCTCCTCTTCCCACCAGCTTCACAGGGAAATCCTTTCCAAAGGGAGGAACTCCAGGAACTCCTGGTGCTAATTTAGTTTCCCCAGAGAAGCAGCAGTATGGAAGTGCTGTGAGTGATGGCAGCTTGTCTCTTTTTGTGGTTTTTTTTTCTTTTTTTCTGACATGCAAGAAGCAGATTTAAATTGGATTAATTTCAGTCAGGCAGTACTTGAGAAAAACCTGAGTGGGAGCAACACAACAGAACACGACTTGGACACAGTGAAGACAATTCTTGGTATCTAACTATGGACACATCAGTTTACTCCAAAAGCTGCAATTAAATATATATTTTTTTAACCAAATAGAATTTGCTGTTTAAAATGAGTTTGTTTTTCGTAGAACTTGGTGGTTTCCCAGACTCCTACATTTTAGCTGGCCACTTCATGTGCTCTGTGCTTGCTCTGCACATCTTTTCTTCTGGGTTTTTTTTCTTTTTTTTTTGGGATGGGGAGAGCAAGATGCTATCCAGATGGTTGTTTATTTTCAGTCCTTGGTTGTTTTACTGGTTATTTGATCTTATTACAGGAGTAGGCCATGGTTACAAGCCTCTAAATAACATTTTAGCAGCTTGACAGTTTTGTTTTAAAATGTTTTAGCACTAATACATGCAGCTGGCTGTTAAGAGCTGCTTGCTACGGGCTTCTTTTCTTTTGCAGCCCCTTGAAGACAACTTTCTGTCCTCCTTATCCCTGTTAAAGCACACGAAGGCAAAAGAGAAAAGAACACTCTTCCTCGAGGATGATGCAAATTATAATTGACTTAACTTAAACACAGCCTCTGGAAAACAGAGGCTTAGATTAGAGCACTACTCCTTTGGCCTGGGCGGGTTTTGGTGTCCATTTCAGTGCCCCAGGAGTTCTGCAGCTCTTCATCCTTAATAATCACTTCTTTTGCTTCCACTGTTTCTCTGCAGACAACGTCAGTGGTGCTGCTCCTTGGGATTGTATTCCACTCTGGCAGTATTTGCCATCTGGAGAGTGGATTGGTGATCACTGGGGGAAGCCAGGCACTTGTCTATTTAACCTTCCTCCACTGTGGAGGTTGAAAACTGATAAAAAATTTGCCTTCCACAGCAGAGGCTGTGTGGTCATTGCTCCTCCAAGCTGCCAGAAGGGAACGTGAGCTGGGAATTTCCTGGATGGCAACGTGAAATATTAAGCAGCAGGCACCAGGCCAACCCATGCAGTTACTTTGAATGCAGTTTGAATTGCTCCATGTCCTCTGCTGTGCTAACCTCTGCTTCTAGTCATTTTTATGTCTATTGCTGCATTACATCATTAACTTCTTGGTAAAATGTTTTTTCAGTTTTTTTCCATTCCTCCCAATTTAATTTGCTGCCTATAACCCCTCGTGGATTTTGTGCATATAATGTGAAATGGCTCTATTAACAATTCACTGTACAAGAACAGCCTTTGTATTTTTTTATTTTTTTATTTTTTTTTTGTCTCTTGACATTTGTGTGACGGGATAAATTATATTTATGCACGTACGACTTGTGCTTTTATCAACAGACAAAAATTGCTCTCTGTATTGTGTAGTCTGACATGAATTCTCTCTGTTTGTAAAAGCACTGATGTACAGGAATGCTGCAGAGGAAATGAAGTCCAGCCAATTCTTGTCCACTAAGCAAGTCAGTCGAATAGACCATTAATATTAGTCAGGTAATTATGAGTGTCCTGATAATTAAGCCAAATCAAGCCAAAGCATTTAAAATAATAATTTGTTTTAATATGTAAACTAACAAGTTGCACAGTAGTAATAATTTGCTTTAAAGAAGTGCTTTGAGTGCTTTGAATTTTGTGAGGCCATCAATGCAACTGGTTGTCCTGAGGGTCAAAGGGAGAGACTGGATGAGCATCTTTAGCTCAAGAATTTCCACAGCTGCTGGTTTCAGACTCTGAAGCTGCATTTAAAAGCCATCAGACTCAAGTTTACACATATGCTTTGAAGGAGGAAGGGAGACTGTGGAAAAAAAGCTGATAAAGATCTTTAATGACCAATCCAGTTTCTGCTTAAAGGCTGAAGGAGTGTCTGGGCCAGCCTTGTTGTGGCCTTTACTGTCCCCAAAAGTTCAGTGTACCCAAGAACCAAGTCTGGTAACTGATCTCATTGTCCTCTCTGTTCTTTTTCTACAATATTTTCTGTTGTCAGTAACTTGGCAATCCCTGCATATTTGTTCAGTGCCTTTAAATAACTTCTTCAGGTAATTAAAAGGACTGCACAGGTGACTGCTGTTGAGATGATCACGTCAAATGAGTGTTTTTCTTTAATTTATGCAGCAAATTGTGAAATAAGTCGTGGAATTCTAGTGTGGTCGCAGATGATAAGGACAAGCCAGCTTTCAGTTGTTTTCAATCCTTGAACCTTTTGGAAATTGCAGGCTACAGACTAGGAATGCTTTCAGGGAAGGCAAGCTGGCAGTTATCAGTCAGGCCATTTCTCCAGTTTTAATTTTGATTCTTGCACCTTTCCCATCTGCCTGGTGTGTGTGCAGGAGCTGTGGTGGTGTGTGAGCTCCCAGGGCAGTCTGACTGACTCATGCTGTGTGAGCAGTCCTCCAGCAGCAGCCAAGGCCTCCTGAGAAACTTGGTTGCTATCTTGGATGCTGAAGGAATTAATGTGTTTGTGTCAGTGGCTTGACTTTCACAAGAGATCAGTCCTTAGGGGCTCTGAGGCTCTGGTTCCCTCTTTAGTGCATCTCGACTACTGCACACTCCATGTGTATATTTAGAGCAAATGGAAGAGGCAGGATCAGATGAGTCTCCTGAAATATTTTCTGTTCTGCCACAAATCAGGCTTTCTGTGTTCTCTGCAATGCCTCTGGTAACTTGTTTCAGACTGTTATTTTTGTGCTCTGCTTTGCTTTCCTCGTGGATCTCTGCACTCCAGTGCCGCTTTGTAGTCACGTATTTATTGCGGTTTTATTTCTGCTTTATGTATTAGACACTGCAAACAAGGAGACTGATTTTAAACAAAGGCTTTGTTTTTCCTGGATTTTGAAACCTGATCAGTGCCTTCTGTGGTTTAACCCTTTGAAAGTGTTAAAGGGTGTAAAAGGCATGCCCATCTAGAAGTGTCTTCTTATGTTGCTGGATGCTGCGTGCAGCAAACCCTTCACATCTGTTGGTGTTGGAGCTGATGAGGATTTGGCTTTTTACTGGGTCAGTCCATGAGGTGCTGGAGTAGTGAATGGCTCTGATGCTTTGTCCTCTCTCCCTTCCTTTTTCCTCTGCCTTTCCCAGGTGATGGAGAGCGAGGAGTTCATGCTGCTTCCTGCCAACCAGCTCATAGACATCATATCCAGTGACGAGTTAAATGTGCGCAGCGAAGAGCAGGTGTTCAACGCCGTGATGGCCTGGGTGAAGTACAGCATCCAGGAGAGAAGACCCCAGCTGCCACAGGTAATCTTAGCCACAGTGACATTGCAGGCTGCTTTATCCACGGGGAGAGGAATGAGGGATGGTAGGGTGGTGCCAGAGCGCTTCTGAATGATGTAAAGCCACCAAAATTCTCTCTGGCTCCCACCTGTGTTAGGTGGCTTGCACTGTCCCTTCATCTAGGCTGGAAGCTGTACTGGCTAGGACCTTCATTAGGGGCTTTGCTGGATTTTTCCCAGCTAGGACTTGCCAAACGAGCTCACTCCAGCAGTCTGTCCAGACAAACCTGCCTGCACTGCTTGGAGAGTCGTATCAAAACCACAGTGGAGAAGAAAAGGCTTGTCTTGCTTTGCGGTGCTTCTTTGAGCTCTGCTGCTTGATTTGTGCCTCAGCCCTCACGATGTTACAGAGGAGCTTGTCAGAATGGTTTTGTTGGAATGTGATGCTTCATCTAAGCCAAGGCATTTCACAGAGCAGAACCCATTCTGACAAAGCTGTCAGCCCAAAGCCTCTGAAGTCTCAGGCTGGCTGATCAAAAGAGGTGAGCATCTGCCTGCCTCGCTGTTTCTGCTTTGGAAAGAGACATTAAATGCAACTTTATTTACTGGAAAGCTTTTGAAAATGGTTTTAAGTAAACAAACCAAACTGGAAAAAGCTGCTCTTCTCAAGGCAGCTTTTAATGCTTTTATAACTGTCTGCCTCTGTCTGTACATGCTTGGGCCTTCAAATTCTAAACCCTTGTGAAAGACATGTTATTTCTTATTGTTCATCCACTCTGCAATGCCACTCAGGTTTAAGAGAGGTTGATAAAACCACTAACTTAATTACTGTTCAGGCAGATGTCTTGACATCTGTCATTTTCTAAAGGTTTCTAGCTGTGACCTTGTTTTCAGCTGTCAATGGATCCAGTGGATTGTCCCTTTCTGAACACTGATTTTCTGCTGGGTATCTAAACTGGAACATTGAAAAGGCAAATGTGCTGTGAGACAAGCTACATTTAACTAAAATTCTGCTGCTTTCCATGTGGCTTCTGGCATCTCTCTGGGTATCTGTGGTTTCACCATAGCGGTTCTGTGTTTTAGGTCCTGCAGCACGTCCGCCTGCCCCTGCTGAGTCCCAAGTTTCTTGTGGGTACAGTGGGTTCTGATCCACTCATTAAGAGCGATGAGGAATGCAGGTAAATCTCCTCAGCCATTTACAGAATTGGATTATGTTGTCCTCTGAACCCGTGCTCATTTGTCACTGGTAAATGGGTGATGCTTCACAATTTCAACTTTGGCAGCTGGGAGGATAGGAGAAGCAAGAAAAATAGTTTTCTGTTTGCATAATAGTCACTAGTGTGCCCTAGAAGTTGTTTTGTTCTTTCAAGTTTCCAGTGAAATTGCAGACTTTGAGTGTGAAGTTTAACTGTTGGTAAAAGACCTTTCAGTATATTGATTTTCATTTTGCCCGTCTTTTCCCCCTCTCTAGTCATGGCCTTCTATTACAGCTTAGCACTTGCATGGCTTTCATGATGATCTCAGTGGAATCCAAAGTACTTTTTCTGTGTAGAATGTCTGCACTTTGATAACTGTATTGGACACTGGGAATAGAGTCTGTTCTTTCCCACAAGGATAATGCAGGGAAGATGTCATTTCCTCCTCCTATGGCATGAGTCTCACCTTTCTGGTTCTACAGAGTTCTGCATCACCCACGAAGCACATGGTTTATTTTGTGCATATGGTAAAGAAGATCAGGGCATAGGCTAAATTGTTCTCTTCTTGAATAAGCATTCATACTGGGGGAATTCTACATCTGTAGAGGGAAGGAGGACTTTTTTGTTCTTTTTTGTTTTATTCAAGGGTTTGGAATATTAGGATTAGTCCAGGTGGCAAGTTATGAATGGATGGACAGTGTGAGCTGGCCAGAGCTGATGGAGAAAATATTCATCAGAAGGGTACTATCTCCACCTATTGGTCATGTGTGTATTATGTATTTGTGTGTTTTCCAACTCCTGTTCTCTTCTGAGGCAAAACCACTGACTGTTAAGTTTTAGCTTGAGGCAGGCTGGGTTTTTCTTTTCTGCACAGTAAGCCTGACAAATCTCTTGTCATAGTATTTTTTTTTTTATCAATCTTTTTATAGCAAGCTATATCTATTATTAACTCTGGCCAAGCACTGGTGCTGGTTTGCTGCTGTCACTGTGTCAGTGGCTTGTAAACAACCGATGAGTATTTGGGTGACAGAGTGCATTTAACCAGAGCTGTTCACGCTCTTCTCGTGTAACTTGTGAATACCTGAGGTGCATGAATAGTGTTGGCTGCTCTTCCCATCAGTTCCGATTCGCCCCTTCTCCAGAGACTGAGCTCTGGGGGTTAATATTTTCCTGTCTTGCACAGGGATCTGGTGGATGAAGCCAAGAACTACCTGCTGCTGCCCCAAGAGCGGCCGCTGATGCAGGGACCGCGAACGAGGCCGCGCAAACCCATCCGCTGTGGAGAGGTGCTGTTTGCAGGTGTGTGCCCTGCAGGAGTGTGTGGTGCCAGCAGGAGATGGTGGAGGGCCTAGAGGGGCCCATGTGAGGAGCAGCTGAGATCTCTTGGTCTTTTCTGCCTGAAGACACTGAGAAGAGAGCTCATCATGGTTTTCTGAAGCTTCCTCGTGAGCGGAAAAGGAGGGGCAGGCACTGATCTTGGCTCTCTGGTAACCAGCAATAGAAGCTGAGGGAATGGCCTGGAGCTGTGTCAGGGGAGGCTTAAACTGATTATTAGATAAAGATTCTTCACCACAGTAGTGTCTGGCACTGGAACTGACTCCCCCAGGCAGTGGTCACAGCACCAGGCCTGACAGAGCTCCAGAAGCGTTTGGACAACACTCCCAGACACATGGTGGGATTCTTGGGGCTATCCTGTGCAGGGCCAGGAGTTGGACTTTGATCCCTCCGACTCAGGATATTCTGATTCTGATGTATTTTTCCCTCCTGGCTTAAGCCAGGAGACTCCAGGCAGGATTTTCTGGTGGTGTTGTTCCCATGAAGTCTTCACAACCTATTTCTGATGTGACCTGTGCATTAATATTTGAAAGCTTGAGTTAACTTACGTTTTCTTACTCACATGATTCCTTTGGTGCTGTGAGTGCCGCAGCATTTCCAAACTTCAGTTCATTCTCTTGAAATTCTCACTCTATTTTGGCATTACAAACCTCAGAGGGAGTGACTTAGAGACGAGTCTGAAGGGGTGATTTGTGCCAGGGGCACAGGCAGTTTGTGAGTGTTTTTGTGACCCTGTTCTTGGTGTTTGGCTGCAGTGGGGGGCTGGTGCAGCGGGGACGCGATTTCCAGCGTGGAGCGCTACGACCCCCAGACCAACGAGTGGAGGATGGTGGCTTCCATGAGCAAGAGGCGCTGTGGCGTCGGGGTCAGCGTCCTGGACGACCTCCTCTATGCTGTGGGAGGCCACGACGGCTCCTCTTATCTTAACAGTGTGGAAAGGTAGGTCTCCATAAGGCCCCTGTGCAGAATTTCAGCTCTGAATGTTTAAACCTGGGTGCAGCCTCTTAAGAACGAGTTCATTTTGCCGAGTGTGTTCTCATTTCCTCCTGCCTTGCACACCCCTGGTGCAGAACGCTTTGTGTCACGTTATCCCAGCTTAATGGGATGAGCCAAAGCCTCTGGATAAGGAAGGAATCTCTAGGAGATGGGTCTGGGTGTGTTGTTGGAAGGAGTGGTGATCCTGGTTAACCTTCCTTCCAGTTGCAGGTTTGTTTTTAGCCTTGTGGAGGAAGGTGAGGTTACAATGAGCATTTCTTAGATACTGAGGGAAAGATCCTGGAATTTTATTGTGAAGTTGCAACTTGAGAATTAAGGAACCTTGGCACATAGACAGAAGAAGGAAAATGGGTCAGTTTTAGGCTTGTGAAAGATTAAAGTCAAACAAGTTTTACCAAGCTTCCTGTTTCTGGGAGCTGCATAGGACAATTCCTATGCCTGAAAGCCACATGACTCAAGCTCTCCTACTACTCCTAATCTTGGCCCTGTAACAAACCCAATGAGCTGTGCAAATACCTTCTCCCACCTTGAGCCTCCCCTTCTTTCCACCTATCTCCTTGAATGCTTCCAACTTCCCAAATCATGACCCCTAATGTTGTATCTCCCACATCCTGCACTTCCTTGCTATGCACTGTATTTCTTTGTCTCTGCATTCCCAAGTCCTTCTTGTTCCTTCTTATTTTATCTGGAAGTCCCAGTGCTGGCTGAGTTCCTGTGTGAACTGCAGGGAGCAGAGCAGAGTTAACTCTGGCTGCTGCTCTTTGCTGCAAGTTACCACACGCCAGCCAGTCTCTCTCAGGAACCAGAACCTTTGATCTTCAGCTTGATTCATCCCAGCCTCCAGTTTGAACATCCCTGGAATAACACATGCTGGATGCATTGTATCACTTCAGGGCTTTTATCCAGCTTACAAAGAGCTGTGTTGCAGTTGGAGCTCAGGATAGGCAAGTTTCACAGCCTTAGTACAGCTCCCAAGCATGGGAGAGTCTGAAGCAGACCTAAGCAGGTAATTTGTGCTTTTTGGTGTGTTTTTTTCCAGGTATGATCCAAAGACCAATCAGTGGAGCAGTGATGTGGCTCCCACCAGCACCTGCAGGACCAGTGTTGGAGTAGCAGTTCTTGGAGGTTACCTCTATGCTGTGGGTGGCCAGGATGGTGTCTCTTGTCTCAACATTGTGGAGAGGTACATATTAATTACAAAAAAGCCAAAGAAGAGTGGGGCACGGCAAGAAAAAGGCTCTCTTAGAGGGTGCAGCTGATGCAGACGAGCTGGAGAGGAGATAGGGATTTTTGTTTGGGGAGAATAAAGTCAGTCTTCCTGCCCCTTTGTGAAGATGTCAGCACTTCACTCAGCTCTGGTGTTTATTCTTTTGCCAGGTATGATCCCAAAGAAAACAAATGGACTCGAGTGGCTTCCATGAGCACCAGGCGCCTGGGAGTGGCGGTGGCTGTGCTGGGAGGCTTCCTCTATGCTGTGGGAGGCTCTGATGGAACATCTCCTCTCAATACTGGTATGCCTTTTGCTGTCCCTTAATCCCAGTCAGGGCTTGTCCTTGGAGCCCATCATGTCCCCAGATGGCTGTTGAATATCTTAGTGATCAGTTTGTGGAGCTTTTTCTTCTTTAAATATTGTTTTGCCGTACAATAACTCACTCTCCAGACTTGTGAGCCCCTGTTACCTGGTTGTGTGTCATATTTTTACTTTCTCAGTGCTTCATTTGGCAGTATGCCCTGAATACAAGGACATCCTGAATACAAGCTTGTTTGCATAGCAGTTGCAAGCACTTTTTTATTTTTTGTAAATTCCTACAGCAGCCACTTTTGCTGTAGAAATCACAGAATCACAAGGTTGGAAGAGACCTCCAAGGTCATCAAGTCCAACCCAGCCCTAACACCTCAACCAAAGCATGGCACCGAGTGCCACATCCAGAGATGGTGACTCCACCACCTCCCCAGGCAGACCATTCCAATACTTCATCACTCTTTCTGTAAAAAACTTTTTCTTAATATCCAACCTGTATTTCCCTTGGCACAGCTTCAGACTGTGTCCTCTGGTTCTGTCAGCTGCTGCCTGGAGAAAGAGACCAACCCCACCTGACTACAATCACCTTTCAGGGAGTTGTAGAGAGTGATAAGGTCACCCCTGAGTCTCCTTTTCTCCAGGCTAAACAACCCCAGCCCCCTCAGTTGCTCCTCATAGGCCTTGTGTTCCCCTCACCAGCCTTGTTGCCTCCTCTGGACACGCTCAAGCACCTCAATGTCCTTCCTAAACTGAGGGGTACAGCACTCGAGGTGTGGCCTCACCAGTGCTGAGTACAGGGGAAGAACAACCTCCCTGCTCCTGCTGGCCACACCATTCCTGATCCAGGCCAGGGGCCATTAGCCTCCTTGGCCACCAGGGCACACTGCTGGCTCACTGTTCAGCCGGCTGGTGACCAGGAAGGAAGGTGCCAAAGGTAAAACTGCTGCAGTTCAGTTTGTAGCACTGCCAGCTCCCTCTCGAGTGAAGATCTGAGTGTGATTGATGGCAGAGACAGGAGAGAGACTAGCAAGAGTTCTTTGGAAGAAAAGGGAGAACAAACATGTTCATGGCATTTTTGTTGTGTACAAATTGGATCCAAAAGTTCTCTGTCTGCCAGCCCTGCTGACCAAAGGCTTTCCCTTCCTCTGCAGTGGAACGCTACAACCCCCAGGAGAACCGCTGGCACACGATAGCCCCCATGGGCACGAGGAGGAAGCACCTGGGCTGTGCTGTGTACCAGGACATGATCTACGCCGTGGGAGGCAGGGATGACACCACGGAGCTCAGCAGTGCCGAGAGGTACAACCCACGCACCAACCAGTGGTCTCCCGTGGTGGCCATGACGTCCCGGCGGAGCGGGGTGAGTGCGGCTTGGTGGGCTCGTCCACCAAGGGATGTGGGGCTGGGAACAGCGGGATGAGGGTGGGGACCCTTCCAGTGCCACCACCAGCACCCCCTGGGAATGTCTGTGTCTGCCAGAATGTGGGGCTGGAACCCTTGGGAATGCTGGGATTGAGGGCAGAACCCCTGGGATCACTTCTGTGGGACCAGGATGAGGTCAGGACCTTCAGGATAGGGATCAGGACACCCAGAATGGGGTCAGGACCTTCAGGATTGAGGTCAGAATCACTGGGATCACTTCTGTGGGGCTGGGATTGGGGTCAGGACACTTGGGATGGGGTCAGGATGCTCAGGATTGGAGTCAGAACCCCCAGAATTGCTTATGTGGGGCTGGGATTGGGGTCAGGACCCCCAGGATTGGGTCAAGACCTTCAGGATTGGGGTCAGAACCCCTGGGATCACTTCTGTGGGGCCGGGATTGGGGTAAGGTCAAGATGCTCAGGATAAGGGGCCAGGACCCCTGGGAAATGCATCTGTCCCCCAGGATTGGGGTCAGGATCCCTGGGATGGGGTTGGGACAGAGGTCACAACCCAAGTCACAGACTTTTTGGTTCCACAGCCATTCCCTGGGAATGCTACTGGGATTTGGGATGGCTCCTGTCCCCTCTGGGATGGCTCCTGTCCCCAGGCCATCCCCCATGTCCCTCGGGCTCGCCCCTCTGTCCTTGTCACATCCAGGCACTGCTCCGGTGCCACCCCTGCTTCCCTTTGTCACCATGTGGGGACAGCCTGGGGCAGAGTGTCAGTCTGCTTGTGGGGAGGGCACAGGGCAGGGTGTCATTGTCACTCTGCTTGTGGGGAGGGCACAGGGCAGGGTGTCATTGTCACTCTGCTTGTGAGGAGGGCACACAATTATGTCAAAAAAAAGTGTCAGCCTTCTCACGAGGCTCTCCTGCTTCCTCTGCATCTTCACCTCTTTTCTTTGAGGGAAGAGGTTTGCAGAAAAGCTCTCTAGCAAGACTACAGGGTGAAGAGATAGCCAAGTCACGCCACAAACAGCTGTTTAGGATGGGGAAATGAGTCATTTGAGGGTGTTCTTAAATATTTTTGGGCCCTTATATGTGGTCAGCTAAGCTTGAAGCAGAGGAGCTTTTAGGGGTGACATAGCTGTACTTGGTGTGAGATACCATTGAAAGATGCTATCAAATTAGTACCTGGATCTCTCTGGATGAATAAGGAGGTGAAAACACCCACTTGCTCAGAGGAAAAAGCTGGGAAATTGGGTTAGCACGTGTTTAGATACATATTCCCAGCAGACTCTCCTTGCCTGGAGGCGTGTGTGGGAACAGGGTTCCTGGGCCTTCACTTAGGCTGTTGCCTCTCCTCACTGAATCCTGTGACAGCGTGTTCCCATCAGCTGCTGATGGTGGTGCTTTCTTGTGAACAATCGATTACTGCAGTGTTTTCCGTAGCCATCGTGGCTGGGGAGATGCAAATGATGTGAATGTTTATAATTAGATATTGGATTATGTAGTGAAGAGAGGGTTAGTGCTGTCTGTGTGTTAGTGTTCCAGTGTCTGGTGAGGCAAGGATGAATCACAGTTTGAGCAACCACTGGTTTTGGAGGCAGAGAGCACATATTCATTTCTGTTCTCCACGCACAGAGTGAGCTGTCCAACACTGTCCACTTTAGTTTCTCATTAGACATTGACTTTTTATCAGCTGCTTCTGTTTTTGATTTCTATGGAAACTGCTAAACACCTGCCCTCAAAGCCAAAACAGGGGACCATTTTGCAGTGTGTTTTCTCTGTTACACTCCACATTTTCCACTGGAAGTGATCGTGTTTTTGATGTTTCAGTGATTTTCTGCTTCTGCAGAAAGGCTAAATAGAAAGTCTGGAGGTCAAGGTGCTTACAGATGGTCCAAGCCCCAATCTGAGAGGTTTGGGATCAGGGGCTCACCTGTGGTTCTGCTACTGTAACCAAGTGTTGTGGGCTGGTAGATATTCTACTTGGGGAAGAATTTCAGTCCAGAACGTAATTTTTTTATGAAAAAGGTTTGGATTCTCATGTATTTATCATCATTCAGATGGTTCTACTTCTTGTAGCTGGCAATAAAGGAAACCTTTTGCTTTTTCTTTGAGAGATTCTCTATTCTGAGATACACATTTAACTTTCCATGTCTCATTTTTTAGGGTATTTTATTTGTGCCTAAAGGAAAAAAAACCCAGCCCTCCCCTGCAGACTGCCTGTCACCAAGCATGGTTATTAAATAGTTTTATTAATATTTTCATTTTAACCCTTCATTTCAGGACATCCCAGCTAAGTAGCTGCTGTCTGTTGGCTGTTTTGCAGGTTGGCCTGGCTGTGGTGAATGGACAGCTGATGGCAGTGGGGGGCTTTGATGGCACAACGTACCTGAAGACCATTGAGGTGTTTGATCCAGACGCTAACACGTGGAGGTAACTTGAATTTGGGTGACAGTCAGACAGTGAAATCCAGCTGGAGCTGTCCCAGGCAAATTAGGAATGTGGTACACACCATAGCAGAGAACTTGAGTGGGGTAGAACCATCACAATGCTCCCATTTTGGTTTCTTGCCTTGCAAGAAAGAATCACAAAATATCCCAGTTTTCCCCTTCTTTTCATTCTGGGCTGAGTCTCTCCTGCTTCCCTGAGCTTGTCCTTAGCAGAAGGAGCTCACAGCCACCATGTAGAATTTGGCCTGTTCACTTCTTGCTTTCAAGCTGAGGCAGTGATTTCTGAATCCTTTTGAAGGAGCTGAAACACTTCAAGCACATGATGTTTTTCCCTTTTAAATCAGCAAGATTCAGCCACTGGAAGAATGTCCGAGCTGAGACAAATAATATGAAATTGCTGATCAAAATTAACCCTTTATATATAAGGATCTTGTGAACTGTTGAGGAAAGAGTAGTACATACATCAGATTCCTTAGTGGAATGGTTTCAGCTACTCCCTGTAACAGTCCAGAGTTAGGAGTTACTGCCTGGCAGGCATTCACACAGTTTGGGAGATTATTCAAGGTATTACTAGCTTGTGATTTTTTTTTCTTCACTGAACTCAGTGTGGGTGACCAGCTTCTGTGGTCTTCTCTTTCTTTTCTATCTCAAGGATATTTTTTATTTGTGCAGCTAGACTGAGAAACGATTCTGATGCAATTTGGCTTTAACAAAGCTGTTGGGAGAACTTGCTTCTGTTCCTGCCAGCAGACTCCAGTGGCACAGAGGGGAATATGCAGCTGGAGTGTGTAGGGGTCTGATATCCCAATGAAATGCAGACACCATTGCAGTCAACAGATGGTGCTTGGGATGTGTTATATCTTGGTTGCATCAGCTGAATGTAGGGGTTTAGAAATATAAATTAAATTAGTTGAATTGTGAGGACTAAGCCTAGTCCTGTGTTACCCAAAACATAGCCTAAGGTCAGCTGCAGCCTACAGAGTTCTTCTGTCTTGCACATTACCAGACAGGGAGCAGGAAGTATTTATTTGACAGAAATTTGGTGTCAAAACAAGCAGCAGTTCCTGTTCTGAGAGAGAAGGGCACGAGCAAGTACAGCTGTTTACTTTTGAAGTGTGAAAGATGCGTGCTCCACAACTACTTCTTCTTCACAGCCCACTTTAAGCAGACATTAATGATGGTAACACGGTTCAGCCTTTCCCATGGCAGCTCCCAGGGGCTGGTGATCCCATGGAGGATGTGACCCAGCGTGTGAATGGAATTTTGTCTCCGCAGGTTGTACGGCGGGATGAACTACCGGCGGCTGGGCGGAGGCGTGGGGGTTATCAAAATGACACACTGTGAATCTCATATATGGTAAGCTTCCAGAGGGAGGGAGTCCCCTGCCTTCTCATTCCTAGAAAAAACTGAAGAGACTTGTTGACACTGGACCTCTTTGCAGCTCTAGTATGCACGGTCTAGATCCAATGTAACTCTTTGCCGGTGAACTCTTTCTATGGAATTATAAAAATTGACTTCTGTGAGAGTGTGCCCAGCGGGAGACCACGTTGTCAGACTCCAGGGAACCACTGGACAAAAGTAGAAGTGTTGCTTATGTCCGTATTTTTTCTAAATAGTTCTACATTTTTTGAATAAACCAAACTGTAACAGTTATTGTAGCGTAAAGGATGCTGAAGTAGAGCCTACACTCTGTACTGGGAGTCTGGCCAGGAGGAGGGATTCCTGCTTTCCCTCCTGCTGTGGGAGCAGTGGATATGGCAGCTGTTTGGTGGGTGAAAGAGAAAAAGTGATACAGAAAACATTGCTTTTGCCTTATTTACAGAGAGCTTCAAAAAAAAAAAAGTACTTGACCTGCAAGGTGCCACCTTTGCACAGAAGCTTTTCTGTGCACAGAATATATTTATTTTTTCATTTGATTTGTATCATGTATTTTCTTTGTATCGCTCACAGTGATGATTCCAGCTTTTTATATACATCTCTGTGTGTGCATATATATATATATGTATTTCATATATGTATATATATATATATATGTATATGTGTGACTTGCATTTCGACCAGCTGGTGGTTTAGGCAGGGCTGTGTCCTGCCAGCTACTGTGGTTCCAACCCTTGTGGTATGATTTGGGGTCTCGTAGAGGACAGGAGAGCTGTGAGGATGGGTGCTCTGAGTATCTTTTCAGAACTGGAACTCTCATCGCTCGACTGAATCAGTGAAGTACCCCAGAAGGGTGAGAGGAGAAGGATTTCAAACAATGCCTTTTTATTGTACAAAAGTTCAGCTTTTCTCTCCTCTCTCCTGTATGTGAACCCGTGCTGGTTTGAAGGTGAACCAGCGAGAGGAATTAACCCCACACAAATACCCTGTGAGAGATTTCAAGTCAGAGTTCCCGTTCAATAGAAAGATTACAATAAACACAATGAATACAGAAAGACTGGCTTAAAACCAGTACCAGTTAAACAGTGCTTGCAGCCCCCCTTGGAGTGATGGATGAGGTCTTGTTAAAAGTGCTGGTCCTGGTCCTTCTCTGGATGTCCAGTGGTGGTGGTTGTGTCTGAGTCCCCAACCCCCCAGGTCACAGACCCTTAAAATCTAGGCTGGAATGTTCAGTCCCCTCCTCCAGGGTGGGGAGTTTCCCAATGGAATGACGGAATCCTATGAGTCCTAGGATATTTTGGGAAGTCCTTGATGGCTCATTGGCAGAGATGACCCGCCCCTTAGGCTGGGTGTAGTTGTCATTTTGTGAAGACTGGGAGAACACTGCACCCAGCTCCCAGCTGTTACAAACATTAACAGTTCATCAGGAATAATGCAAGATGGGTGTGGAATACAGTTAGGCTACACCCACACGGATACTTTCTCCTGCAACCACTGATAGAACCTAAATCCAACCAGTTCTAGCTCACTTCTAAAAGCCTTTTTCCTCCTGTTGTCTGCTCGATATCAGTTCTTGACTGAAGCAGGGTGCAGGTGTCATCTGTTAATTTTGACACCCACTTCTTGTGTTCTCACTGGAAGGGCAGACCCACAGCCAGCTCCTTCCTGCTGGAAAAATGCTCAGACCAGCCTCATCTCAGCTGCCCTCTTGTCTGTGTCTGTAGAATTCCTGACCATGACGGATGGTGCCCTCTCTTTGAGTGGTTTTTGTGCACTTTGCCTGTGTATGGTTAGAGCAGGGAAAGGTGTGAGGCTCATTTCAGAGTTTGGAGGGGAAGGGCTGTTTGCTGGCACTGTGAATAACTGTGGAGTCACCCAGGGGTGGGGGGAGAGCAGGGAAGAACTCAAGACTCAACAGTTCTGTTCGTACTGTAATTTCTATTGAGTGTGGAAGAATGACCTTTTGCACCTGATCTAACTGTGGACCTTACTAAATTTGATTTTGAAAAAAGAGACCTGTAAATTCTTGAGATGAAAAAAGCAGTGCTGTCATCTTAAGTTCTTCAACTTCTTTGTTTGATTCATGTAACTCAGATTTTAATGTGCTTGAATATAGTAAAAAATACACTACAGTCATAAATGGGACATTAAAACTTTTTTTAAAACCCTTTTCCCCCTAAAGGTCGGTATTCTTGTGTTTACATATGAAAATCATTTGCACCTTTACAAGGAAAACAAGTATTCTGTAAACAAATGTTTACATGTATCATTTATGCTTTTTTCTAGCATGAGTAACTTGTATAAATAGTGCTATCTTAATAAATTTCTTCTATGCCGTTCTTGGTTTGTTCCTTGGGGTGAAAGCAGTGGAGGAGGGGTGTTTTTCTGTAGTTTATGTGGACAAAGATGCTGGAGGGTTTTTTTTTCCAGATAAATCCCAATAAAAGAGGCTTAAAACTCTGCTGCTTATTGTTACCATTCACATCACTCAGAACCAGCTTTTTCTGGAAGGAAGCATCTGTGCTATCTGGCTAAATCTCTCTGCTCACTTAACTGCATTTATCAAATAGGACAACACAAGGAAAAGGTTAAAAAAATCTATGAAAATTTAGGTTTTTAGAGATTATTTATGCAAATTTGTTGGAAGAGCTGAGCATTAGTTTTAAAACTTAGCCCTGGGTGTAACATTCCTATTTTCAAACCAAATAAAGGTGCCAATTATTTCCAGACTTTGTATTCCTTTGCCCAGTGCTCTTCTGACTCCAGATAGCAAACTTTGAAATACTTCAAAAAAGGAAACTAAAGCACCAGAAGTGATAGTTAAAGTAGCTGCTGAGCTGCCAAAACCTTCAGAAGATCACTTAGCTGCTCATTACCAGGGTAAGAGTTACCACAGACTTCAACCTTAACATGCAAAAATGATCCATCTTCAACTAGTAAAGAATCTGAAATCCAAGTGCATGTTTTCTTTGTTTAATTCTGGAAATAGGTTAGAAACTAGGCATGCAGTTATGTCATATTAGGCAGTTTTACACTGGGAAAAGAGAGGAAACTTGCATCCCTATTTAGGAGAAGGTCATAGGACACAAATCAGCTCCTAGAGATGCTGCACAAGTGAGAAGCAAGAAACTAGAGTTGGAATGTTGCTGCTTATAAAAGCATTTATTAAGTAACAAGTGGTGGCTTAGTCAGGTAAGCTACAGTTGGATATAAGCTCCATGCAAGGAGATATTTAATTAGGCATAGGTGGTCTTTCCTTAAGACAAAAGATGGAAGTTATTTTATTTATAACTGTATTACAAAACTTCTTAGCTGGTGCTACTTTGTGCTCCTTAAATGTCTAGCCAGACACTGGGCACTGTCTCTCTGAACTCTTACTTGTTCCAGAAGGGAGGGTTCCAACATCAAATTCTAGCCCACAGCTCTAACCCTGAGAGCTCTCTGGCCTACAGGATTACATCCAAGATGACAAACATCACAACAAAGCCTAGTAACTATCAAGCTTATCCACACCTCACTTTCCTATCTATTAACTTGCCTGGGAGGACCAACAGGCTGACAAGTGCCTTGTGTCCAATCTCATGCCCAGCTAGAACATACATGAACATTATCACCATTACCAAGTATCCTTAACAAGCTAAAAAGGGAATTAGAAACCTGGGTATTTCTGCCCTGGATTCTAGAGCAGAATCCTTTTCTAGCAGAGACTAGCCCAAGAGTAGTCACAGTTTAGCCAAGGCCTGTGTAGCTTAGGCTGTCCAGTGAAAACTAACTTTGAAGCACAGAAATAAATACCTGTCAGCAAGTTGCATTAAGAATTTGCAGTGTTTGTCTCTGAGCTGATACCTGCACATAAATGAAATGAGTGACTGAGGAAAAAAAGCTGCTCAGGAAGCTGTCACAAGTCTGCATTGCAACCCTTATTCAGGGCCAAATGTCTGCTTGACTTTGCTGTGCACAGCATGGAATTACACTGCCAAGTGCTGTTGTTACAGTCCAACTGCAGACAGCTGGAATGAGAGGGAAGAAGATGCTGCAGGAGAGAATTTCCTGGTGCTTTCTCAGCACAGACTGTCCAAACAGAAAGCCTCTTTAGTATGAAGAGCTACTGAAATGGCTCTCACTGCATCTGAGAGATTGCGAGTTCAGTCAGTAGCATCAGCACTCCAGGCAGGTATTGGCTGTGTAGAATCTGCAAGAAAGAGAAAAAAGCCTGTCAAAGCAGCAATTGCAATTGCCAGATTCCCACACCCTGAAGCCCTGGTTGGAAGGAAACTACCAAGTGTTCTGTGTGTTTACTCAGCTGCTCTGTTGTTGCTTTTCAGGTACTTACACTTTTCCCATAATGAATATATATGACTTGAACTCTATCCCATTATGAAAAGCCATAACTGAATTTACACAACACACATTCCACAAGAGCACCCTTCAGAAAGCCTGAGATATCACTGTGTACTTACCTGCAACAGAAAAAGTTGTTTCATACAGTTTTAAGCTATTACAGATAAAAACAAGCAATGTACTGCTCATCATAGGGTAAATTTAAACAACTGCATTTACACAAACTGTTCTTTAACTCAGAATAAAATATTGTATTGCTTGAAGGATTAATGGTCCATGGTTTGAAGGATATTAGAGATACCTCTGTAGAAAGACCAGCACCTTTATGAAAAGGGTTACAAGTGAAGGAGTCTTCTGCCTGTGTCTTAATAACTACAATACTAGAAAGTTAGTGCACTTTTTTAGTTTGGGATCTTTTTGTGTCCAAAAAGTATTTTATGGCCTAAGAAACTTTCCTTTTTATATAAACTTTTTATATGTATTTTTTTATATTTTTATATAAACTTTTCCTTTATTTTATATTAACACACCACAGCTAATACACCTACTTCTGGTCCCAGGCAGTAGCTTCTGCTGCAACAGAGCAGTAAAATACTGTACTGGCAGCTGCCCCAAGTCCAGAGCTAAGTATGACTATTAAAAGCTGAGGGTTTAACAATTCTTTGTAGGGAATTATGCAAAATAAACACGAGACCTTCAGGTATTTTATTGGCCAGCATTAGGACAACCTGCTCCTTGTGGCCTCACCTTTACAATCCCATCACAGTGTGCCGAGGCAACCGCTGTGGAAACCTTCACCAGCTTTGTAGCTGACAAGTGGATCTTGAAGTGCCTGTGGAAGTGGGCATAAAGGCAGTCCATGAACACATCCACCTCCTCCTGGGTGATCTCTCCCGGCGTTTTTTGCACCGTGTCCCACAGAGCTTTGGCATCCTCTGGGTGGATGGCGTATGAAATATCCAGGGGCTGGGACAGGCAGGGCACGGAGAAGACGAGTTCCACGGCAGAGGCAGCTCTGTCCAGCTTGCAGCCAGCCCACATGGCCACCATCCAGCTGAGGTTCAGGGGGCTGATGGCCAGGCGGCGGAAACAGCAGTCAAAAGTCTTCTGGAACCAGCTTCCAACCAAGGTTGTGTAGCTCTCGGCCCCGTGGCTCAGGAACAGGGGCAGGCAGGTGAAGTCCTCCAGCACATTCTCGGAAAAGTCGTCTCCAAACATGGAGCAGAACCAGCCTGACCACACCAGCTTGTCTTCAGAGTTCCTGGAGGAAGTTTGTGACCTTGAAGAGAGCTGGGATGGGGAGAAGAACCATTTCAGTGCTGCAGAGCAAGTATGGCTTTTTTTTTTGTCAGCTAAAAATAGATTTTGATTTAAAAGTTTTAAGTGTTTGGTAGAAGTGGGGTTTTTTCCCTAGGATCTTGCATGCAATGCTGTTTTCTGTCAAACACATACAGTTATTTAGTCTATCCATTACATCCCTAAGAGTTGAATGCAATTCTGTTGAAAACAGCAGAAAAAGCACTTTTAAATTTCAGTTAAAAAGTTAAAACTTTTCAGTCCTGAGATTTGAGTTTATGCTGCTTAACTCCTGTGGTACATCCTACAACCACTGCCACAATGAACTTGATGTTTCAGTAGCAAAGCCTTTCAGAAATATTAATTAAACCTGAGCTCTGGCCAGGAAATGGGATTATGCCAGCTTTATCCAGGAAGATAAATAACCCATCCAAGTCCTGGCAGTAAATTGACTGCTGAACTAAAACATCAGAGATTGCTCTGTATAGTCAAACTCTGATGCTGTTAAAAAGTTGAACTCAAACTGAATGCATTGCTTAGGGGATCACAGAATCAATTAGGCTGAAAAAGACCTCTGAGGTCATCAAGTCCAGCCTGTGACCAAACACTGTCATTAGACCAGGGTTTTTACAGCGTCACATCCAGCCTTTCCTTAGGGAAAGGTGACTCCACCATATCCCAAGGCAGCCAGTTCCAATGTCAAATCATCCTTTCTGTGAAGAAGTTCTTCCTAATGTCCAACCTAAACCTCCACACAGCTTAGGACTATAAACACTCCGTTCCAGTTAAAACCAGACAGGATTCAGTTCCATTAAATCACAGTGGATACTCCAGCACTTACTCCACACATCTAGGGTTTAATTTCGGGGTTTTCTCTCAAGACACAGCGTCTCACCACAGCAAAACCAGCCCCCTCACCTGCACGAGGAGGGCAGCCTGGTCCAGCTCGCTGCCCCTGAGGTCGGCAAGGCTGGTCAGGGCCACCTTGATGTCCAGCTCGACGCCCACCTCCACCGCCAGCCCCTTCCTCTTCTCGGCGGCGATGAAGGCGCTGAGCAGCCGCGCGTACTCCGTGAGGCGGGCGCGATGGAAGCGGAACAGGGGCGTCACGCTGTACAGCGTCCAGGCTTTTCGCAGCAGGAACGCTACTTTCTGCGCATCGACGCTTTCCTAGGTGCAAGCAGATTCAAAGGAATAAGCTTAAAGCCCGCTCTTCCCGCGCGGCGACAGCGCGGCTGAGGGGGCAGGGAGGAGACAGCGGGGCGCCGCCGCGCCGGCCCCGCCGTACCTGAGAGCACAGCGCCGGCGCGATGAGGCGGCCGCTGGGGCTGGTGCCGAGGCGGCTGTGGGTCCGTCCGAAGGGCAGAGCACGGGAGACCCGCCTGAGGCTGGGCAGGGTCCGCACCGCAGCATCCTCGGCCGCCTCCTCCGCCATGGCCGCCTGGGCCCGCCGCCGCCGTTCGAACTTCCTTCCCGTCGGCCCCCGCGCGGGGGCGCGCCCCTCCGCCATCTTGGGGGCGGCCGCCCGTGAGGGAAGGAGGCGACTGAGGTGGTTTTTCGTCTTTTTCCCCTCCGGAACTGTTGCTTTTCAGTGCCTCGGAGGTCTGTGTCGCTCCTCCCGTGTTTTTGGCTGAGGGGATGGCGTTTCCCCGGCTGCTGGTGCGGGCGCTGCACCGGGCGGCCGCTGCCGCCGCGGCTCCAGGTGAGGAGGAGCGGTGTTCTCATCCCCTCGAGATTTGGGTTCCTTTTCTCCCGGGATATAGGTCAGGGTAGTCCACACAGTCGAATAATATCACGCTTGCGGCAAATTATTTTCCATCACTTTATTAAGTGTCTTGTCTAAATTTATTTTAATTCTAAAGGCTGTGATAGTAGTGAAGGTAGTGAGATAGGCTCATAAAATTATCTTATATGTGTCCAGGTAGCGGTATCCTTCAGGCTTCTCCTTGCAAGCTGAACCTCTTGCACATTCTGTAGATGGTGTGCTTGGTTCTATAACTTAGGCCATGATTACAGGCACACACACGGGGGTCTGTGCAAAGCTTTCTGTACCCGTGGTTCAGGCCTTTTCCCAGTTGTTTCAGGCAGTCACAGTTCATTTTACACCTGCATGGTGGGATTCCTCTGTGTGTATTTAATTTTTGGTTTGTTAAGGCTTATTCTGCCGTGTTGCCACCGGGAACTGCAGTGGCAGGACTGGCCACGACAGGGGCACGGAATGAAATGAGCTTTAAGGTCCTTGAAGCCGGAACTATGCTACGATTCTAGATTTAAATGTGGAATTGTCAGCATCCCTCAGATCTGTGGCTTTTGCTTCTCTTGCTCCCGAAATTTGCAGGGCAACACTTCTCATCAAAGCTGTGTTCCAGTATCTTTATGAAGGTTTAACTGAGAAACATAATTAATCCCTGTTTAAAATACATCTAGACTGGTTTCGTTTCATGTCTATAACATAGTACCTTAGTGCAGATCTAGATATGAATAACTTCTCCATGTATGTGTAGGTTGTATTGGGAGGGAAAACTATTATTTATTCTGTCTCGTCTGCAAAAGCCATAAGAAGTTTTTATTTATATATTTATATATTTATATATTTATATATTTATATATTTATATTAATTTACATTTTTTTTTTATTTAAGACTTCAGCAGTTTCGTCACTCGGACCAACACGTGTGGAGAGCTGCGTTCTGCTCATGTGGGACAGAAGGTGACCCTGTATGGATGGGTTCAATATCAAAGGTAAGTGCAAACCATGGTGAAAATGGAGATGATTATTTGCCAGATCCAGCCTAAGCTGTGTTTCATCCAGCATTGCTTTCCACTGATGGTCTGCATGGGTATTTTGATTTTAGGAGGTCCTGAGCATCTCATCATTGAGCAGTTGTGGATGGAGACCCAGGAAAAGGAGTTAGGGTTATTGTAATGTGATTGTGGTGATCTTGTTTTTAAAGGCACCACAGCATGTCCCATTGGGCAGTTTTTTTGATGGATAAAGCACAGTGGCAGCTGTCCCTGCTGCAGCTTGAAATCAAGATTTATGGTTCTGGATCTGGTAGTGTGGGTTGTTCATATGGAACTTTTTATGGGACAAGTGTTCCCCTTTTTGACTTATGATTAGATCTTGTTGTTGTTGTTTTTATTCCACGTGAACTTTAGTTTCATTGCTCATTTAATTGATTTTAGCTGGATGATGTTTCCCAGCAGGAAAATTCACGTGTCCAGAATCCCTGCTCTGCGTGCATGAAAGCTCAAGTTAAAATCCTGCCTCTCCTAGTTATTTGTATGTTGTCTGAGGCTGGCCACAACGTGAAATAAATTGTTCAGGTTAGGTTCAGGTGTGGGAAAAGTGCCTGTAATTCAGTACTTGGAAGTGCTTTGGGATGAGTTGCAGGGCACTGAAAGTGTAGCCAGTTGCCATATGCTTTAAAAAGCAGAATCTACTAAATTAGTGAAAAAAATGTTCTTCCTTTTGTGCTTTTCATGGATCAGACAAGGCCTGTTTCTGGTTTTGAGGGATTTCCAGGGACTGACCCAGGTCATCATTCCTCAGGATGAGGTAAGTGCTACCAAAATGAGTCTGTGTTTTTATTTTTCCTTTGGCAGCTTGGCTTCAGCAGCCCCAGAGAGAAGGAAGGACTTTGTTAAACTGAATGCTCTGACTCATAAGTCGATTGAAGTGTCTTGAGAGCCCTGACCTGGCACTGCAACATGAGCATCAGTGCTGTTTCCCCTGCCTTAAGAGTGATTTTGGATTGAGGTGCTTGGCCACAGTGTCTTTGTCCTGTTCTTTGAATTTCTGTGAGGCTCTGTCCTCTCCCTGCAGGCACATTCCCACGTGAAGGAGCTCCTGTCCAACGCCCCGGTGGAGTCTGTGGTGAGAGTGACAGGGACAGTGTCCCCTCGGCCCCTGGGGCAGGAGAATCCGGTGAGGATGGGGCGGGGAGGGCTCTCAGGGCTTTTATTCCTTGAAAGAAACAACCCTGGATGGTGGGATGATGGTGGGCTCCGTGTCAGAACATTGCCATGGGCTCTGGTTGCGTGACAGCCCATCCTCAGATAGTGTGAGGTGAATTAAGTGCTGTGTCAGGTAACAGGAGAATCTCAAAGCACATTACAGGCATCCACAAATTAAATTTGATCCCAGCCCTTTGTAAGGATAATGCTGGCTTTTCCAGGCTTTGAAAGCATGGTGGGAATTTCTTTTGCCTGAGAATAAATATTGTCATTTTGGGTTCCACGGCACGTGGTGACCTGTTTATTGATTTTGCTGGTCTCCTTGTTTAGGAAACCAGAGGTTTCCTAAGAGGTTGAATAATTCCTTAGAGGTTGAATAATTTTTTCATGTTCTGCATTCCTCAGCTGTCATTGTAATCAGCTGCAGATTGGTCTTTCAGGATTGTACATATAACTGGCATGTCTAGAAAGAGGGCTGCATTTATGATCATAATTCCTGTTTGCTCCATCTTGTAGATGTCCACTTAAAATCCAGGTTTTAAGCAATGCCTTTATTTCTTCTATTCATTTCTTGTTTTGTGGGAAGGTTGTGTGTCCTTTCCCCTGGTAAATAGCAAGAGTCTTGCAGGATCAAGTGAATTTTGCTGTGCCTCAGTGCTACGTGAGGGGAGCTGCCTGCCCTCCCTCGGGATAGAGTCGAAAGAAGACCAGTTCTGAGAACTGGTGTTTAGAACTGGAAGTTCTGAGAAGTTCCTCATAATTTGCCTTTTTTGACTCATATTAAGGGCTGATTCTGCTCGTGTTCACTGAAACCTACACTGTGTGGTTTTGCTGAGGCTAATGTGTTTAGAGACCATTATGCTACTGGGAAAGAAACTGCCATCTTTGGTGACTTGTGTTGCTCTGAACAGAAGGGAAATCTGGGAGAAATCTGTCCTTGGGAGAAGCTCTCTGACTTACACAATGTGTTAGAAGGCAGGGAGAGTAATCACATTGCTTCATTTTTTTCCCTTTGATCATCTATGAAATACCTTTGTCCAACTGTTTTGAGTTTAATTTTTTTCTTGCCTTTTTGTTCTAGAAAATGCCAACAGGGGATATTGAAGTGAAGGCAGAGACTGCAGAGATCCTAAACTCCTGCAAGAAGCTGCCTTTTGAAATCAAGGATTTTATCAAGGTGTCTGTGTTTTTCTTTTCTTACCAAAGTGGTGGCTTTTCATTAAATTTGGAATTTACCCATGGTGATGGCAAAACATCTGAGAGCTGAGGCTGGTTTTCCCCACGTCACTTTGGAGGAATGATGGTATTCAAAACAGGGATGCTGCTTGTTTGCTGGGAGGATTTATTTCCAGTTAGAGCTAAGCAGAAAACAGGGCTTGAATGATTCCATATTCTTGGGAGAACTGATGGTAAAGGAAAGAGTGAAAGAAATGGGGTTTCTGGGTTTTTTGAGTGTGAAACGAGGCTGTTTATTTAACTCATGGAATCACAGAATGATTTGGGTTGGAAGGAACCTTAAAGATCATCTTGTTCCAAACCCCCTGCCATGGGTGGGGATACCACCCACTGTACCAGGTTGCTCAGAGTTTCATCCAGCCTGGCCTGGAACACTTCCAGGGACAGGGCAACCAAAACTTTTGTGGGAAGTTTGTTTTTTTGTTTCAAGTGATTGCCACGTTTGTGTAGGCTGTGGGTAATGGGCGTGCTGTGACAGTCAAGAGCCGTCCCTTTTTAGCTTCTCCCTTTTCCCCTGTGGCTTTAGGAGCACCTTCACTGGACATGCAATTTGGATTTTGTCTCTTCATCCCAATTCTCTCTCCTCCCCAGAAGTCAGAGGCCCTGCGGATGCAGTATCGATACCTGGACCTGCGCAGCTCCGGGCTGCAGTCCAACCTGCGCCTGAGGTCTCGCGTGGTGATGAGGATGCGCGAGTATCTCTGCAACCTCCACGGTGAGTGAGCTGCTTGCAGGACAGGATGCAGCAAACATTTCAGCTTCCCCTGCTGCCTTTTTCCATTGCTGGCAGAGATTCCTAACCAACTTGCTACTCTAAACTGGTCCCACTTAATAAGGACATGTCTGCTTGTGGTGGTCTTTAGTGGGATGTTGATAGGCCTGAAGAACAATGTTGAAATCTCTTGGCATGCTGAAAGCTGGTTTCAAATTAGCTGTTTCAAATGAGAAGAGGTTCTTTGCAGGTGGTTGCCCTCTTTGGGTCACCCAGTTGAGGCATGTCAGAGGGATGGATTTTGTTCAGGGCTTTTGCTTCTCCTAAAATCAGAAAGTGCTTTTTGGAAAATCAGTGCCTGGTTCAGAATAGATAGAGAATTAACACATTTTCAGCCTGTTTGGAGTCCTCTGTCATCAGCAGTTCTGGCAGGACATCAGAGCAGCTCAGAGCCTTTAGATCTGTAATTGGAGCAATAATTATTAGAAGTAGTAAAGTGTGTTGGTTTTGGAGAGTCTCCATGGTGTGCTAGATGACCTATTTTGCTGACTAACCCTACTCTAGGCTACTCTGTCATGTTAGTTCTCCCTCCTCTCAGCATATTC